CTCCTGCCCAGTTCTCATGCTCACAGGAAGACCCACCCCGTCCACTCCAGTAAAATCGCCACCCTTCCCCCAGCCTCTAGGTCAATGCCACCAGCTCTGATTTTTCCACAGGAAGTAACATCTTCTACCATATGTAATTTACTTATATTTTATATTATTGTTGATTGTTTACTTCCCCCTACTAGAATGTAAGCCTCATTAGGGCAGAAATCTAACTCTTGTTCATTGAAGCATATCCCAAGAGCCTGAAGTGCCTAACACTGAGTTGTCATTCAATAAATGTTTGCTGAATGAATGAATGTTCACTCATTGGCTTAATGAGTGATACTGGTTTAAAGCTTCCTGAAGAGCCCCATGGAGAAGCAGCAGGGGGTCTCGGGGGGCGTGATGATGATGTGACAGGGGTTTACTTACTGACAGGAAGGGTCTCTATTAGACCTGGCAGACCCCATGTTCCCGACAGGCTGCCTGCTGCATCACTTAGAAGGAACTGATGCCTACCGGAAACCAAGTCAGGGGGCCTGGGAAGCATGGTGGCTTTTCTTGCCCTCTCAACTCTGAAAGGGCAGTGACCAAGCCAGGGCTTCCTGAGGATGGAAGAAAAGCAGGGCAAGAGAGGGCCTTGGCTGGCTCCAGAGAGGGGCTGGACCAGAGAGAAGCAAGGCATGGGTCTGGCTGACCAGCGAGAGGTATGAACCACTGCCTGGCCTGTGTCCAGGTGCCCTGCCCCCTCCCATCATCCTGACAAGGGTTCCAGCGACCTTTTCTCACAGCAGGAAGNTGCCCTGCCCCCTCCCATCATCCTGACAAGGGTTCCAGCGACCTTTTCTCACAGCAGGAAGTATCTCCTGGATAAGACCCCTTTCTCTAGTTGGGCAAAAGCTACCCTGAAACCTTGCAGACGGTGATGACAGAAACGCCTGTCTCCACCCATACAGTTCACTCTGACATGAGCCAGGAGTCACTCTCTTATTGGGGAGAAAATAGAGGCCCAGACATGTCAGGAGACTTGAGGTCAAACATCTGATCAGTGGCTGACCTGGAACAAGAGGCTGGGTATCTTGACATCTTGACCGTGGCTATTTTCAGTGGCACTTAAGATTGAAAGGACTTGTGTTTCTCCGTATCACCTCCTGCGGCCTTTCTGGGGATGCTTCACATCCACACTGGGGACCTTGGAGGGGTGGGACTGGTAAGATTCCATGCTCCTTTCTTGGGTACCCTACCTACATGCTTCTCCCCACAGAAGTAGGGGGCTAATGGGGTGGGACCCCCAGATACACACCAAGAGGCAGCTTCTAATTTTTCGCTAATGCAATGGCTTGGAGCTGTTTTGTGCATCTGCTTAACATCACAGAGACAAGCCAGCAGTGCCTGACAGGGGCACTAGCACGGCATGTCCAGCCTCGGTGGGAGCTGGATGGATTGGATGTGTTCAGCGGAGCACATGCTGGGTGGGAAAGAGACCCCAAACCCACTCCACAAGCAACAGAGGCCAAGCTTTCCCCTCCTGCCCCAGCTGGGTATTGTTCTTGTCATAGTAGGTAACAGGTGGACAACTGGAAGACATAAAAAGTGCCCCAGAACCCAAATGTAACCATTGCTCATGGGTGCATTTCATTATCGACTTGACCAAAATTAGCTCCCTGCCTCCGCCTC